ACGCGCCCAGGGTGAGTTTTAAGCCCCCAGGACACAAACCGCGGTCCACTACGTGGGAGTCCAGCGACATAGCCATTACACTAACTGCTGGTCCCATCGAGCATGTACCCTCTACAAACCCCATTGTACAGATGAGGCAACTGAGGTACAAGGAATGCAAGTGACAGGCAGGGGCTTGGGGTGGTGAGGGACTGAATGGAATCCGTTCATGGGTTCAAGGCACTGCCCCTCCTACTCTAGCTCCCTCTGCTCTGGTAGCAATCCCCCCTCCAGCTAGCAGTGAAAAGGCCTTGGCAGCTGCTGGCAGGCTCTGGGGCTCAGTGCAGAACAGCAAGGGCCTGGGCCCTCTGTGAGAGGTCTGGAGAGGCCTCAGGCCTCTAAGGGCGCAGTGAGGGGCGGGGTCCAGGAGCACCAGCTGTACCTACCCACCTGCCCTTCTCGGGGCCTGACCTGACACACAGTTGAGGGTGTCAGGGAGCCCTGGGTGCAGCCTCCAGGACTTCCCACTGCAAGAGGACAGGGACATCCCTGCTCAGTGGCTTGCTGCCTGCAGGGAAGTGCAGAAAGCAGCTCTCGACATGATTTACAGTGCTGGGGAGATTTCATAAACTCCACCAGCCGCAGGGAAGAGTGGGAGTGGGGCAGCGCAGTCGCGGGAAGGGAGTGCCCCAGCTGCCAGCCAAGTCTGGACTCTTCACAGGGTCACAGTGACAGCAGGGCTTCCCGGGGACAGCGTGGTCTTGGGGAGCCCTTTCCCCTGAGCCTCAGACCCTTCCTCTAGCAAATGGGACAGATTCCCAGAGCAGCTGGGACCCAGCTCAGGGCCCCTGAAGCCCCTGACAGGAGAGGGCACCCCCCCCCCCAGTATCTGCTCACAGACATTGGCATATGGCCAGAGCCCCAGACATGCACACGGCCCCCGTCCCCATCCCCACAGAGTAGACGGGACAGGTGGGCACCCGGCAGGGCTCTGCTCGTGGCATCCCTCATGGCCTGTTTGCTCTGCCTGCAAGGACAGGAGCAGCCCCTCTGCAGCTCTGGCCATGGCCCTAGTCAGGTGAGAGTCTTAGGGAGGCGGATGGGCCAGAACAGTAGCGCTGGCCCCGAGAGGGGTTCAAAGGGGGAGATTAAGAGGGATAAAGTGACAATCTGAAGAGCCAACAATGGAAATCAGGGACAAGCACTGGCCTCTTCAGGGGATTAGTCTGTGGCTGAGGCTGGCCTCTCCCTCCCGACGCTGGCTGCTCTTGGTAGATCCCTCAGGGTCAGTCTGCTGAGGGGTGAGTACAACGATGCCAGGTGTGGGATTCAGGGAGCCCTCATTTACCCATAGTCACAAGGAGGGCTGTCCAGGCTCACCTGAGGGGTCCTGCAGCTTGTGGGAGAGGGAGCCCACAGGTCTGGGTGGTCCCAGGTGGGCCAGGCAGCCATCTGTTCCCGTGCCTTGGTGTGTGTGTGTGGGGGGGGAACAGACAGCAAGAGAGGAAGAGGGGCTGCCAGAGACCACAGACCAGTCCCCACAAATGGTCCTGGCACCAACGTGCAGTTGACAGTCATCTAGGCCAGGGACTTCGTCTCTGGTGCTCATTCACACAACCAGCATGTCCTGGGTCCACCCATGCCTATGCAAAGCTATGACGGGCAAGCCGGCGCTAGAGGGGCCATGACTTGGCCGAAGTTTCCAGAATGAGTGTGACTGCCAGGCAAGAAGTGAGGAGGCCATTTCAGGCAGAGGAACAGCATACACGATGTGCCCCAAATCACCCACGACCGCCACACTGGAAACGGTCCAGTGTCCAGTATGACCAACACAGAGGCCAGAACCAAGAGGTAGCAAGGTGACCCCCACGGCTGGGCAGGCAGCAGAGGGCCTCTCCTGGGCCTGCGAGCTGGGCTGAAGTGGAGGGATTACAGGGAAGGACCAGAGCCAGGTGTGACCGGGCTGTTGTGTGCATGAGAATGGGAAGAGCAGAGGGTGGGGGGGCACTGTGACTGCCCAGCAGAGCCAGGGCGGATGAAGGGCACAGAGGGCACATTTCCACAGGCCTGCCTCCAGGCCGAGGAGGAGGTGGGGCCAGAGGGAGGGAGCCAGGCAGGAGGGCATGAAACCACCTCCGTCCCGCAGGGCGTGGCCTTGATGCTGGGGCAAAGCCAGAAGCCGAGAAGCCCCAGGAGCCCAGCCTGCAGAAGGTGTAGATGCCCAAGACTACAATAAAGGCCGCAGTAAATGGTCGCTTCTCTTCCAACAGCCTCTTTTCCTCAAGGCCGACAGGCCTGCTCTGCCCAGATAGTGCTATAGTGATTTCGGCTCCATGCCCTCAGGGGGCAGATGGACGGGGGTGGGTGAGAGGACAAGTGGTTTCCGAGAAAGCAGACCCCCTGCAAGTGGCCACCCGGGCACAGGGTTCAGACTCCTCAGGGCCCACTCCAGGCCACTTCAGACCTGCAGCTGGCAGGGCTCATGGCCAGTCTGGGACATGGTGACAGAAGCAGCCTGGGGTTTAGATGCAGAACAGGGGTCTCACTCTTGAGTGACGGCTAACAGTGGCGGGTGAGTGACCAAGACAGCTGCACACCGAGGGTGCCTTTCTCCCTAAAAACTCAGTGCTGAATCCTGGACACATTGGAGGCACCAAACAAACCCACTTAACATAAGATCACCAGGTCTACCTGTGACTTGGGGCCAGTTCTTCAGCCTCAGTATCCACATCTTCTCCTCCATTCCTCCGAGTTTCGTATTTAGTGCACAGCATTAGCACTGGGCTGCATCTGTCTGTACCCAGACAGGGACTTTGGGCACCCCATCTCTACCACACTCACAGGTGCTCACCCCAGTCCCCTCTGAACCCTCATCACAGCCCCAAAGGCCCCTGGCTTACGTTTCACCCAGCAGAGGGTTATCATGGAACCAGAGACAGAGGCTGAACTGCAGTGGGCTCAGGAGAGTGGGGATGCCTCAGATCCCTCTGGGTGGACTCCAACCAGCCTGAGACCTGACACTGGGACTCAAAAAGCCTGGGGTACAGGACGTGGATCCCTAGACAGCACCAAGGGAGACACACATGGGACCAAAGTCAACCCCTTCTGGGAAGACCAGGGGGAAATCACACCCCAACATTTGAGTCATGTCTGTACTTATATATACTTAAGATGGGGGTGGGAGATAAAAACCAGGCAGGTTTCAGATAATAAAAGGCTAATAAGTTGCAGTAGCTTCAACGCCTCTTCACAGTCTCTCTTCACTAGGGCACAGAGCAGCAAGGAGCTGGGCTTTGGCCGAGAGCCCTGAGAGAAGGCCTCACCTGGTGGGCCATCTGATGAAGCTCCCTCAGCCCAGGTTGTCCCATGAGGCCACACCACAGAGGTAATCAGGTCTGAACCCCCATTGCAAGATGGGCTGGTGGCAGCCCAGGGAGGGCAGCTGTATGATGCTGTCTGCAGCCCATGAGCACATTCTAGTTGCTTTCCCTCCCACACTCTCCTTCCAAGCCCCGGCTTTGGCTTCGCTATGACACTATGTGGTGCCTGTGCCTGGCCTGCTGGTGTAAAGTGGGGACTGAGTCCCTTCCCTTCAG